TTGTTGACCCAGGGGATTCTGATACCTGTGGGTTTGGGAACTCACCTTGAGAAACTGTTAATAGCACTCCTGGTCAGAGCCTGGGAAGAGAAAGGCTGCAAAAGGCTTTCATTCCTGACCCCGGGCACCGCTCCTTTTCCAGGAACTTTTCAAAAGTCAGGGAGGGGACTTTTATTTTCTTCTGATTGCAAAAGTTGTATGTGTTCATTGTAGAAAACTAAGGAAAAGCGGAAACAGAAAGTATCCCACCATTCAGAGATAAACAATTTTAACATGTATGTGTATTTTCTTCCAGGTTTTTCTCTATGCAAAAAATTGAATGTATGCTGAATTTACAGTTCCAAGTCCTAATTCCATTCAAAAGTATATCAAAAGCATTTCCCCATATTTAAAACTTTTTCAAAAGAATTATAATGACTATATGATAGTCCATCATTTGAATATAGCTGTAATGTAATTTGCCACTTCCCACTGTTAAGTGTTGAAGTCCTTTCTAGTTGTCCGCTATCACCATTAACATTACAGTGATCAGCCCTGTTCACATCTTCCCAGGACAGGTGCCCACAAGTGGAATCCCTGGCTTTTAGGTTAAGGTAGGGCCCCTGAATATCCCTCTCTCTCTCATTGCAACTTACTGTTTTTAAATACTTTCCCAATCTGATAGGTGAAAATTAACATCTGTGTTTTGATGTGCATTTCTTTGATTATGTGTGGTTGAACACCTTTTGTGTGTGTGTTTCTTGGCCATTTGCATTTCTCTCCCTGGATTTTCTGTTCATATGCTTAAGGCAAGGGCTTTTTAAATGATTTTCATTTTACATCAAGATGAAAGTCTCTGCGCATATTCAAATCTTTGGTTTTTCATCAGACCTTTTCAGCCATGTCTTCATCACAGGTACTGGGCTAAGACCGTTGAGAAGGAGGTGCCCTTCTGGAGAGAGATGAATTTAATGATAATGGTGATAGTGTACTGAGCACCTATTTATGTGCCTGCATCGTGCTGGGGGTTCTCACAAACCTTATTCATTCCACCCCCACAGCAGTCCTTCCAGCTAGGGACTACCTCTCCATTCTACAGACCTAACCACGAAGATTGGGAGAGGGTCACCAGGCTGGGGAGTGGAGAAAATGAGATTCGAACTGGGAACTGCTGTGTTCTCTTAACCAGGCTGTAAGGGGCTCCCAGTGTCTGGAGAGTGGGCGGAAGGGCAGTCCTCAGCTCTCCCTTGCAGCGCTCTCCGTCTCCCCCCCTAGACGGGAAGTCCATCTCCACGGATGTCATCGTCCTGGGCCGAACCAACCTACTGATCAGCAGCGCGCAGCCCCGGCACTCTGGTGTCTACGTCTGTCGTGCTAATAAGCCCCGCACGCGCGACTTCGCCACTGCTGCCGCTGAGCTCCGNCACTAACCAATATATCTTGGACTTCTTTCCAAGGGCAGAGCTTCTAAAACTACTTTTTAACAAAACAGGAAAGATTTTAGATAAACACTAACAGTGGTTCCATCTCGCTTCTGTTGGCTGTAACAACAGCACATCTGAGGAAATGTATCCATCCATTCATTCATTCATTCATTCATTTATTCATTCATTCATTCAACATACATAATTAAGGAAATGGTACTTGTCAAAGGACGGATTACCTCTTGGGTACCTGGAGCACAATTTCCCTGGAAAGACCGGGGTTAGACAGTGACCCTGCAGGCAGTCAGCTAGCTAGACTGAGGGAGGACAAAGGGTCTTGGAGGCAGAGTATATTAGGTGGAGGAGACCTGGATGGGAATGGGCGATTTGTTTCCCAGATGGGTCCTGCTTGTCCTCCCCTACTTGGCCTGTCCCGTCAATGTTTTTGTGGCAGCAGGCAGGGTCTTGGCTCAGGATCTTACCTCCAACCACCCTTTGCCTCCTTGTCCCTTCTTCCCCTCTGGCCCTGCACTGATGTGGGCAGCTATTGGAGCTGAGGGTAAGATGCTGAGGAGAGGTGGGTTAGCCTTTGCGGTGATGGAGGGAGCGATGCAGGTTTCTGGTTTTCCTCTAATAAGTCTTTGGGCCACAGCGGGTTTCCAGACCTATGGCCAGAATTCTCTCCCAACACCCTCGGGCTAGTTCTCCTCCCCTGTTTAGATTTTCTCATACCCTGTTTCCCCACAAGCCAGGGGACCTTCAAGTGCACAGTCATCCCATTTCTCTGACCTTGGCACAGCCTATATCCAGGGACCAGCACCATTCACTCTCTTGAGAAACTAGAACTCTCAACTTCCAGGTGACCCTGCAGGGGCTACAGTTGGAGGATTCGGGAGGACCCGCTCATGCCCTCATGGGTCAGAGCCCTCTCTGCTCCCGCCACCCCAGCCCCCATGGACACTTCCCTGCTCCAGGTTGCACTGTCTTTTAAGCGAGGCCTCTGGGCCTTTCTAGGCCAAGATGCATTCCAAACCTTTAACCAAGAGGGCAGAGAACACCACCCTCATCCATCTTGTCCCTCCTCAGTAATGTAGGTATTGACTGGAGCTTGCTGGGGACCACGCCCCTTCCAGTAGCACTGTCAGCCATCTAAGGGCTGCTGAGACAGGCGGGTGGGAAGAACATGGGATTTGGCACCAGAAGATCTGGGTTTAAGTTTGAACTGTGCTCCAGCCGTGAGACCGTGGGAAAATACCCTGCTCCGGCTGAGCCTTAGTTTTGTCACCAATAAAATGAAGGCTGTGATTCCCCTCTATTTCTTGGGCTTGTTTTGAGGATCAGATGATACAGTGTGAATGAAAGGGATTTTATCACGGGGGCGAGGAGGTAATACAGGCAGGAGGTAAACAAATTCAAACTGTATAGAAGCCTGTGTATAATGTCTTCTCCCACTGTCAGCTCCCAGGATCCCGGGGCCCCTCCCTAGAAACAACCACCATTAGCAGGAACATTCAGTGCCAGTATATCCGTGGACATATCTCACACACACTGCTCGGCACCACACACATTTTGGAGCTCTCCCTATATCCACACACATGGAGCTATCTCCTTTTTAACAACTGCCTAGCATTCCGTTGTATGAATGCACCCAAACCAGTTTAGCTAGTTCCCATCCTACAGATGGACACTTGGGTAATTTCCAGTCTTTGGCTATTACAGACAGTGCTGGAGTGAATATTGTTAAACATACATTTTTGTGTACATGTAGGAGAATATCTGGGGGTTAGAGTCCTTAAAGTGGCATTGCTGGGTCAAAAGGCATGTGCAGGTTTGAGTGTAAGATATCACCAGCTTGCCCTTGAATGAGGGTGTATCGATTGGCCTGGCCACCAACAAGACAAAGAGTGCCTTCTCTCCATTGTTGTTAAACCTTTTGACTTTTGCCACTCTGATAGGTGAAAATGGTATTTTACAGTTTTAATTTGCATTTTTAAAAAGATTTTATTGGGGAATTGGGGAAGGGGAACAGTGTTGGGGAAGAGGAACAGCCAAGTTGTCCTTCAATCTTAGTTGTGGGTGGGCGTAGCCCACCATCCCATGCAGGAGTCAAACCAGCAACCTTGTTGTTAGGAGCATGTGCTCTCACCAGCTGAGACACTTGGCCGGCCCCCCTAATTTGCATTTTTTAAATTGTGCGTGGGACTTGAAAGTGAGACACTATATGTATTTCAGATTAGAGTAGGGTGGGCCCAGGATAGTTTTGGGATGCCACCCTCCTTGCAGAGCTCCGACCCACCTCACACGTGCCCTTCCCCCTTCCCAAGGCTCATCACTCTTCCCAACGGGGTTCTCCAGATCCTAGACGTTCAGGAGAGTGATGCAGGCTCCTACCGCTGCGTGGCCTCCAACTCAGCCCAGCAGCGCTTCAGCCAGGAGGCCCTACTCAGTGTGGCCCTCAGAGGTAAGGGGGCTGGCTGGGCAGGCCAACCGGGGCATTTTTCTGGAGTCAGCTACATCAGAGCTGAGAGGCCTCAAGAGGTCCAAACCCTGCCTTCAAATAGGTGACAGGGTATCACTCCCATCAGACAGGGGAGGTGATGAAGCCCAGAGAAGGCAGTGCCACCCAGCAAGTCAGAGAGCTGGGGCTGGACTCCCAGTGCAGGGCTCCCTTCCCTTGGAGGCTTTGTGTTTCCTTGGGTTGGATGCAGCATCCAGGGCTGGGGACGGGTGGGGAGGGAGGCATCTGAGGAGGGGTGTCAGTGCCCTGAAGCCCTGGTCCCTGCCCCTCTGTGTGCCCTGGAGGCTCTGGGCCCTGGGGGATTCACCCCTCGCTGCTTTCTGTGCCCTATGGATCTGGCTGTCTGCAGTCTGGTGCTCCCGTCCTCTCCGTTTCTCTGCAAAGCTCCCGTCCCAGGGTAATGCAGGAGGAAGGTCACAGGCTTTGGGGTCAGAAAGGCCTGGTTTGAATCCTGGCTTCTCGGCTTACCATCTGTGTGACCCTGGGCTGGTTATCAAATGTCCAGCTCCAGGAAGTTGTGAGAAGAGCTGAGATAAGAGTAGAAAGTGTCTGACACCTAGCAGGTGCTCCACAGATCTTACTGCAGGCCTCCCCCCAGGGCCTCTCACTTGCCTCCCTTTGCCATGGCATCTCCCGCCACCCCAGCCCCTTTTCACATCTCTTCCCACCACCCCCTCTTCACCCCGCCTCCTCCACTTCCACCCTACTTCTTCCGGGCTTAGCTGGTGAGATGCTCTGAGTGTGGGTCCTTCTCTCCTGTGCACCGGGTCTCTGCCTCCATCTACTGGACAAACTAGGTATTCACCAAGCCGACCCAGGGGGCCGGGTCACAGTGAGAATTTGGCAGGAATCAGTGCTCAGGGAGTTACCAAGCTGGCAGAAACTCGAGCCCACACCCTGCCTTTCACACATAGAAACCTGAGACCCTTTGGAGAAGGGACTTGTCTAAGATCACACAGCACGATTATGATAATGATAATAACTGCTGGAACTGGAAGCTGTGACTGTTGACTCCAAGCCCAGGCTCCACGTCTACTCATGACCCTGACCATCCATCCTCTCTCTGTCTTGTGGGTAGGTTCAGTGTGGCAGGGAAGAATATGGGTGGTGTGCCAGAGGCCAGGTTATTCTTCTCCTGGCTTCAGGAGGAGGAGCTCTAAGTCCCAGTCCCAGCTCTGTGCAGCTATGCAGCTGCTGTCCCCATTTGCCAGGTGGGATCCTGGCTGCTCCCTGCCCTACCTGCCTCACCAGGTGACTGAGCACCAGGGGAGGTACTGCACGTGTAGATGCTTAATAGTAAAGCTGCCTGCTGGTCTGCCCTCTCTCCAGGGTCCCTGGCGTCCACCAGGGGGCAGGATGTGGTCATTGTGGCAGCCCCAGAGAACACCACTGTGGTGTCTGGCCAGAGTGTCGTGATGGAATGTGTAGCCTCTGCTGACCCCACCCCTTTCGTGTCTTGGGTCCGACAGGGTAAGTGGAGGGAGGGCCTGAAGGGCATGGGAAAGAAGCGGTGTGGGATTTCATGTGTCTCCAAGTCAGGGACTATAAAGGTGACCACTCCATGGTCACCAACCTTCGATGTGGCAAGAACTCCTCTCCCAGGGCTGAGTGTGGGTGGGGGACCTGGACAAACATAATCATCAATCTGTGTAGCACGTTTCCTTTAGGAGGCACTTTGAGTCTGCCACTCACAAAACATTATCAAGACCTTACTTAGGCTGGGCACTTGGTTAGCTCCTGCACCTTACTTATTTCATTCCACACAACAGCATTGCAAGTGAGTGTGTGAGAGCTGGAAAGGTGCCACACAGCCAGTGAGTCAGGTGGAACCAGACCTCCCACTGCTGTTCTGTTTAATTGCAAAGCCGCCTCTTGGTCCACCTGGTGTGCCTCTCCCTTTGTGCGCCTGGCTTCATGCTGGGCACAGTGAATAAAATACCCAGATGAGAGACACAGGGGCCCTGCTCTAAACTCATAATCTGGGTGAGGGAGATAAAACACACAACCAGGAAGAGAGAGGCTTGATGGTATCAGGCAGCAAGTGATAAGTGCCAAGTGGGACTGCATTACAGGAGATGCTATCAGGGTAATAAGGGCACCGGGCCAACTGTCACCTTGCAGTATGCTGAGCACTCACGTCCGCTCGCTTGCCTGAGCCTCCAAGAGCTCTTGGAGGAGGGGAAGGGCCAGGACTATTATTCCCAGTGGGCAGATGGGAAGCTGAGGCTCAGAGAGGCAGGTGGAAAGCCAGGACTGGAGCTGATTCTCTTTCCACTACACCACTCCCTACAATCCTGTATGGAAAAAAAACAAGCACTATTTTTGTTTCTATTTGTCCATAAGAAGTGACTTGTCCCAAGTTGATGGCAGAAGTAAGTCTTAAACCCAGCTTTCTTTACCCTTCTTCCCTGGCTCAGTCTGTCACCCTACACTGCCTCTTTTTTGTAAGTTTGTATCTCACATTCAAGAGTACATTATGAATACATAGAGTTTAAAGAAGAAGAATAAATAAAACAACTATGTACCCCCCACGGATCTGATGAGACAGAACAGTGCTGGTATCTTTGCACCTCCCCAACCAGCAGGGCCTCACTGGGTTTGTGACACGGGCTTAGTTAGGGGAATTCTGGGGGCCAGCAGGACCCTCATACTATTATTGGGTTAAGCCTGGTATCAC